ATATGTAAATGAAATATGTGCCTGACATCTGTGCACGATGCTTAATCCCTTCAATCGTATACGGGCAATCCGTTCGAGATTTGTTCCCGAGGTCGAGTCACAGGATCGGTACATATAAATAATATATCTAGTCAGTATTTGATACACAATGTAAATACTTCTGCCTCCTATAGTCATACATAAGAACAAAAACATCTTAATGAATAAATCATTATTTTGTACGAATGAAATATTCCTGAATGCAATACAAATCCTGAGCACCATGTACAGCTTTTGTTGTTATCAGTTAAAGAGGATGATAAATACACAAGTAGCCGGTTCTATGGGACAATACCTAATTCCTTTCAATGCAGTCTTAGCCACACACATCTATACACACGTATACATATATAATCATTTAATTCCTTTAATGTACTGAAATTATCGACAACTTACTATGGACGCGTTTACTATAAAATACGCGTGAAATTTTCTGTAGTAATCAATTTCAGGTCTCTAGCTTTGTTACTGCAGCCAGACACACATTTCCCATTCATGAATGGCCATAGTTGTTGATTTCATTCAACTCAAATCTGTAGCAAGACACATCGAGGCGCTGAGGTTACGATTGTATGCATTGTTTCGCATATACAATGCGATAGATATTACACTCACAATGCCTATTCTCGTACGCTTTATATAGAGGTAATACGACCGGGTATAGAAACCGACGGTAGGTTATATTGTAACTTAACACCCGTTAACTGTTACGAATTACTTTCCATTGAAAACGAAGGCAACTGTAGCACAATATGTAACGGTTTGTTCGCTCGGCTGTCAACTACATTTCATTGCAAGATGTTGTATTAAGAAACAACTGTAAAAAACAATCCTGTACTAATTGGTTGACCGTTCAATTATTATAGGATTTTAATGCTAAAAGCAAATAAAATCGTACCCCTGGAATAAAGGGAGCTCTAAGTATATCTACTCCCGTGTCGACGTACTTAGAGGTAAACAGTGGCTTAAACACAGGTGTCTGAAATAACGAATCGGGATGGATTCGTACCAGTAACTGTTTCCTTTCTAAAAAAAACTAATTATTTTTCGATTTGATAGAGGTAAAAATGAACGTATGTTATGGAAAAATTGAGATGTACTTTATATTTATATATTTCAGAACACACATTTTGAAGTTAATACATTTAACCCATATGTTAATTTTGTAAAGTACATTTCAATATATTTACTATTCTGCTTCAAAATTTATTCATTGAAATAAAAAAAAAACACTTCGTTACAGAACTATATAAATTCTGTGTTTCTCTGGCATGTTGATAACACAGATGCCTAATGATGTGTGTTAAATGTGATTTTGGGAAATGAATTTAAAGAAAAAGGATATTTGAAAACTTCTACAACAGTCCTTTTTTTACATAGATTGTTGATAATACCACAATAGCGGTTTAAAATAAGTTGATACTTTTCGCACAAACAAAACAATCTCTACAGTATTTTTATATTTTTTCCAACAGTTATAACCAGAAAATAAAGTAAATATTTCACTATATTATAATATTCTCACACATTTCTATTTCGTTTTATTAGTAAGCGTTCCTTTGCAACTAACAGAAAGAACTTTATTAAAATATGTATTTAAATTTGATTGACATTAAATTTCATCTCATTCCACAACTGACCGTAGTCGTTCCGTTTGACACCCCGGTCAGGAAATCTGCATTTCAATAGTTGGCTCGTCCCCATTTTCCATGAGTTGAACGAAGTTCAGTTGAAACTATTCACTCAGTCGAACCGTCACACAATGCCGGTTACCTGTTAGCCCCGCCCACAATTTTTCTCACCTTGCCCACCACTGAAATTTATTCGCGGCAGTGACACGCAGAACTCAGGAAATTAGCATAGCCTAATTTGATTGGCCGAGAGCGTTTCTGTTTGTTCGCCTCACAATCGATAACCATGTGTTCACTAAAGCATATTAGGCAAAGAAAAAGAGGTGCTTGACTATAGGAGACGTTCTTTTGAAACGCAGAGAAAAGCTGTGGAGATTTATCAATTCTATCTTCTTCTGTTGGACTCGGGTCATATTCATAGCCATTGGACTTCAACAATACACGCAGTTATAAAGAAGTTTGTGAGCCGGTATTGGAAGCTACTGTTTATTTACACGACAAACGTGACTTGTATTACTCGATAAACTCGGCTATCGTGTGTTGTGTTTGTGACTACCCACAGAATATGGAGCAGGACATGTCTAAAGCTCAGTTACAACAAACTCTCGCAGGGGTAGGGGTTTCAAACCCGGGGATGGGGCCGCCACACCAGGCCCATCAGGGACACCCCCAGAATCACCAGGTTCATACGGCACCCCACCCTCACCAGGCTCACTCCCCACCCGAGCAAACGAACATTTCTAACGGACAGGGTGGTGGGGGCCTTACGGCTCAACAGAAGAAAGACTTAGATAGGGTCAAACGCCCTATGAATGCTTTTATGGTGTGGTCGCGAGGTCAGAGAAGGAAAATGGCACAGGAAAACCCCAAAATGCACAACTCTGAAATCAGTAAGCGACTCGGTGCGGAGTGGAAACTTTTGACGGAAACAGAAAAACGTCCGTTTATTGACGAAGCTAAGAGGCTCCGTGCTATTCACATGAAAGAACACCCCGATTACAAATACAGACCACGAAGGAAGACAAAAACTCTCATGAAAAAGGACAAATACGCACT